ACTGTTTATTCTCTGCCTCCGTAAGAGTGGAGGGTCGAGCTTTTAGGGCACTGTGATGTCTTCCTGATGTGCCTAATTGGGTAGACCACAGTCTGCAGTTATTCATTCCAGCACTAATCTGAGATGTTACTGTGAAGGTTTTCTGTAGATGGGATTCAATTCTATAAGCGTTGACGTTAAGTCATGTAATTATCCTAGACAACCTGGTGGGCCTGCTTCAACCAGTCGAAACGCCTTAGTATCAGAGCTGAGGCTCCCCTAGAGAAGAAATTCTGCCTGAGGACAGCACTTCAACTCTTTCCCAGGAGCTCCAGCTTGCCCTTCCTGAAGACCAATCCCCATGACTGCATAATGCAGTTTCTTATAACCCATCTCTTACTTGTGTCTCCTACTGGCTCTGCTTCTCTGCTGGCACCCTGACTGATTCAGACAGGAGACCTGCATACTTCACCACTGGGCCATTCTGCCTTCCATCACTTCAGCCTCAACCTTTCCTTCTTTCCCTTCAATGCGTTTAAAAATGATCAGAAATACGTTGCTTTTTAGAAAGGGGGAAGACAACCATGATTAATTGGCTCAGCCAAGATCACAAAGTTACTGTAAGTCTAAACAAAATCAATCATCTGTAACTTTCAACAATTATAAAAACAACTATTTCTGTCTAGTGTGGCTTGTATTCTGCAGCACTGGCACAACTCTCTCACCCTTGGCATCATAGAAAAATCCACTAGAGCATACTCCAGATTTAATGCTGGACAATAGCCTCAATTAGATCACAGAACTAAAGCCTAAGAAAATACAGGCATCTGTTTCATTTCCCTCAAGGGGCAAAAGGCATCAACTTTACTGCCCATACACGATCATTAGCATTTCCCTTCACAGCTGTCACCCGAGGAGCATACCTTAAGGAAGTGTAATGTCGAGCCAGAGGGAAAACTCTGTCCTCGCTGAGGAAGTTCAGATTGCCCTTGTCTTCATTTTCAAATACTTTGCTCCAGCTGCGTGGCCTTTTTAGTACTGGCTAACAGTGAGCGAGTTAAAGCAGCTGCTTGTCATTCATGTATTAAAAACTAAGCATCTGTGTCTTTCAAAGTCATGTGAAGGAAACAGACAGGACTCCAAGTTCCTAGTTTATTAATGGCCCCACTTACCCATAAGCACACACTTTGCTCAAGTATATCATCAGAACTCCTAATTATAATGCTATAAATTACAGCAGAGAATTAAAGGCAGCTATAGAGGAAGGAAGAAATATGAATATTACTAAAATGAGAAGGTAATTGAGTTACCCTCTTCCTTCTGAGCCAGCTCTGGTTGTTTAAAATAAGTCCTAATAACAGTGCTAAATGAACTCAAAGCACAAATGAATATTAAACTGATCTACTGCAGAGATTTTTATAACTGGCTTATTAAAGTCATTATCATTACCAGGCAGATTTGAGTCATTCTTAAGAATGTGAAAGGTGAGTGTGATGGCTAATTTTATGTCAACTGGGTTGGGCCACAGTGCCGAGATATTTGGTCAAACATTATCCTGGATGTTTCTGGGGTTTTTTTTTATATGAAATTAGTATTTAAGCTACTGGACTTTGATTAAAGCAAATTACACTCCATAATGTGAGTGGGCCTCATACAATCAGTTGAAGGCCTCAATAAAACACAACTGACCTCCACTACCTCACCTCTCCACCCACTACCCCACAACAAGAAGGAATTCTGCCAACAGAGAGCCTTTGGACTCAAATAGCAACTCTCCCCTGGGTCCCCAGCCAGCTGGCCAACTCCATCAGATTTTGGACTCACCAAGCCTTTATCATTGATGAGCTGATTCATTAAAATAAAGCATATATATATATATATATATATATATATATATATAATCTCCACATACTGTTTGCTCTGTCTCTCTGGAGAACAGTGGCTAATACAGTGAGTGAACTGACTACACTGGAAGTAACAAGATGAACTTCAGCAATGTAGACAGTGAGAACCCAGTTACATTCATGGAGTAATTACTGCTTAATTTTAATGATAATATTCTTTGCTAGCATTGTGAGACTTTAGTACCCAAACCCAAAAGACAGTTTTTATAGCATATGCTAATATATATGCAACAAATAATGCAGTGCTCATGGCCAAAAATGTCCCTTCCAAAGCGCACATGCCAATTTCAGGGCCACTAAATGCCAAACTGCAGTAAAGTTCCAGGACTTTTGGCACATATCCAGAAATAAGCAATGAGTCCTAGAAATCCAGAAAATCAGCAACTCATGAATCTAACTAATATATCTTGAACACCATTATCACAGGGAGGCAACAGTGGTGAATGACAGAAAAACAGTCCCTGATGTCATGGAGCTCAGACTCTGAGGAAGAATTGGATCACACAAATGTATAAATGAAGACCGGTGCTATTAAGAAGGGTGCCTGGTTACTTAAGAGAAGCTATCAGAGGCACCCCAGACTAATGTGAAATGCTGCTACACAGATCGTGGTCTACAAGCCAGCAGCATTAACATCACTTGGGAGCTACTTAGAACACAGGATCGCAGGCCCCTGTCTAGACCTGCACTTTAATAAGATCCCCAGATAACTGGTGTTCACATGACATTTGAGAAGCAGCTGGTTTAAGGGATAAAGAAAACTGATTTACTGTGGATAGTACATTTTGGTTGAAATCTAAAAAGAAGAGGGAGAGAACACAAAGCAGAGGAAGCAGTGATCATTTCTTTGAGGCAGTTATTATTGCTAACTGCCAAGTATTTCCAATTCTCTTCCCAGGCGTCTTGTAGGACTACCCTTCCCTAACCCCAGGAAGATGGATCTGACCTAGTGACTGGTTCTGGCTGGGGAAATATGATCAGGATGGACCTATGTCACTTCTGGTGGGATTTTTAAGCACGGCTGTGTAGTCTGTCTGCTGTCTCCATTCTGCCATGATAATCAGCAGTGTATAGTTAGTAACAGCTCAGTCAACGGAAACCTGGAGCAGAAACATCAATTCACCTAGACTGAACATGGGGCTTGAAAGAGCAAAAAATCTCATCATACTAAGACTCTGAGGTAGGGGGGTGATCTGCTCCTGCCTAATTGGTATACTCTATCATAATTAATGGATTCATTCAACTGGTACCCACTGAGTGCTTATGAAGTATCCAGCAAATCCAGGCTCTGGGGATTCTGTGATGATATTAGCCAGACAAGACCCTGCTGAGTCTTCTTTTTGTCTAGAGAAAGATAGGCAAATGAACAACTAGAAAAATAATTTCAAATGGTGGTAAAAAGTAAGAAGAAAGTGAAACAGAATGGAGACACTAGACAGGGGATGATAGGGCTCTTTTTTCTTTTTCTTTTTCTTTTTTTTTTTTTTTTTGGAGATGGAATCTCACTCTGTAGCCCAGACTGGAGTGTAGTGGCGCAATCTCAGCTCACTGCAACTTTCACTTCCCAGGTCCTGGTTCAAGAATTCTCCTGTCTCAGCCTCCTGAGTAGCTGGGATTACAGGCATGCACCACCATGCCCAGCTAATTTTTGTATTTTTAGTTAAGATGGGATTTCACCATGTTGGCCAGGCTGGTCTTGAACTCCTGACTTCGTGATCTGCCCGCATCAGCCACCCAAAAGTGCTGGGATTACAGGCATGAGCTACCTCGCCCAGCCCTGGGCTCTTTCAAAGGAAGTGGTCAGGTCAGGGACAGCCTCCCTTCTCAAAGGAGCTGATAATGTGACCTGGTACCTGGATAAGAAGAAAAACTCAACCATTTGAGCATCTGGAGAAAGAGCCTGCTGGGCAGGGGAGAGGAAATGCAATGGCCCTGAGGTAAAAAGTTTGGCAAGAGATTTGGGTGAGAAAGTAATTGAAGAAAAGAAGAAAAGATTTGGGTGAGAAAAATACTGGAAGAAAATACTGAGAAAGTAATGGAAGCATAGTCGCTGTGAAACCTAGCAGTAAACATGCAGAGGGTGGAGAATGGTTTAAGATGGGGCTGGAGAGGCAGGTGGAGATCAGATCCCAGAGCTTTCAGGTCTGTTCAGAGGTTTGTGTTTTATTCTAAGTGCAATGGGAATATGTGATCTGAAGTATAATAATATCACTCTGGGTACTATATTCAGCAGAAGCAGAAGCCTTGTAATGAGGAGAGAGCGAGCACAGTAGGAGAACTAAAAGAAGGCTAATCTAATGTGGGTAACATAAAAGGGCAGAGAAATGCAATCTAACCAGCAGCCTAGACGGATAGATAACAGGAAATATTAAGTGTATAGCATTAATGACTAGCGTCACCCTCTGTTCACCAAATACTTGATTTCTTCTCCTTTCCCCATGTACTGTGTAGTCTACCCCTCCCTAAAGGGGGCAACCTCAAGATCCCACCAGTCAGAGGATCAGCTCTGACTTCAAGATCTCCTGGTGACGCATCCTAGTTCCTGCATCAGAGAATAATGTGGTAGTTTCCGTATCAGGTTTAGATGTGATTTCACTTCATCCAGGAATCTATGAACTAAAAAGATGACTTGGCCTGGTATGATGGCTCATGCCTGTAATCCCAGCACTTTGGGAGGCTGAGGTCGGCAGATCACTTAAGGTCAGGAGTTCAGGACCAGCCTGGCCAACATAGTGAAACTTCATCTCTACTAAAAATATAAAAAAATTAGACAGGTGTGGTGGTGCACGCCTGTAGTCCCAGCTACTCTGGAGGCTGAGGCAGGAGAATTGCTTGAACCTGGGAGGCAGATGCTGCAGTGAGCCGGCCAAAATCATGTTACTGCACTCCAGCCTGGATGACAAAATGAGACTCTGTCTCAAAAAAAGAAAAGAAAGATGACTTACGTGCCCAACTTCCACCCCAGCATACACCCACACCCAATATGCAACTCCAGAATAAATAAATAATAATTCTAAAGATATTCTCATTCAGAAAAGGGAAGAATATCAGATACATAGCAGGCACTTGATAGCAATTCTGGAATCCCACTAGGCAGTGATTGTGAAGGTTTACTACCTTAGGCGCAGAGGATGTTTCTGTATTAAACTTCAGTTCTTATGTCTTGAAAGGGCTCTCCTGTCCGGTTTTCCAAAATTCTTGACGCCATCCTCTAAGATGTTCCTCCTTTGAGATTCTCCTTGCCTTCAATCTGGAATGTATATTGAAGGATCATGCACTTCAATGTCTACTCATCCGTAATTCTTTATTTTAAAGTTTCAAATAGTCACTGTCCCTTTCAATTCCAGCTGGTGATTCATTTGACAATACAATTCTCTGAAGACCTTACTCAGTTTCTTCAATACCTATATATGTTTTTTTCAGACATACTTCTATTTGCTACTTTTGCTTTATCACACCCAAATCTCTTGTCTCTTTTCCTCTGGACATAACTAAGGCATGTTGGACTATCTAGTTTAGGTGAGAGAGCTATTTTGTCTAATTAAAAAGATTTAGGCACCACACCTTTACTATGTCATTGATCTGAGTCAAACGTTTTAACAGTAGGTGTGACAGTCATACCTAGAATTCATACTTGCTGCAAGAGTAATTCCGCAAAGACCTCAGTTTCATCTTTTAAAAGGGTAAGATTCCTTACTACAAATCCTCAGACTGGATTCTCTTTCTTCCTACGTACAAATTGGCCAGTTCTTTTCTAAACTCATTATTGTTTTATTAGCCCCCTGACAAATGCAGTCAACAATAACCAAAATCAACTTCAAATATACTTTACAAACTAGGCACTTCCCTAGAACAGGGTTTGGTAATCCTGTAGTCCAAATCCAGGAAGCAGCCTGATTTTGTAAAAGGGGAACTACAGATTGTAAAAACAAGCAGTGAAGTATGTGCAACAGGGACTCGCACACTTTGAAAAGCATAAAATACTTACTGTCTGTCTCTTTACAAAAAATATTTGCCAAGTCCTGCCCTATAAGTACAAATACTTGCCTACCAGATTAAGCTACCATCTTATGTAATGTCTCATCCCTGCGTAACATGAGCTAAACTCCTTCTAACTTCCAAACTTCCCTTGCCACTTAGCAATCATGAAGTCAAAGCCACACATTTCAGGTTGTTTTAAGGCAACACCTCCATTTCTTGGTACCAACAGCTGTATTCATCAGATTAGGCTAGGTCATGCTGCCGGCCTCTGCTTCTCCATCTTTCTGGAACCACACTGATGGAGATTTCACGCCATTGCAAGCTTCCACGAGCATCGTAACAAGCAAAGAAGGAAGTTGGCAAATTGTGCACTGCCTCAAATCTTCTGCCTGAAAATGACACATTTCATTTGCAGAAGTAAGGCACATGGCCATGGTAACTTCAAGGTATCGTGGTTTACTTCAAGGCGGCCATGGTTTTCTCCACCTGGAAGAGATAGTAAACAAAAAAGAATTGTTAATGTTTGCTAATAGCTATCAGACCTGCAGTCCCATTCCACAAAAATTAACCTCTGCTAGGGGCTTGGAGACATCTTTTCACTTTGTTGCATGCATATACCTGAATATTACATTCCCACAGCATTACCTTTTACGTCATAATCATTATCTGCATTCATACTTAAAGAGCAGGGACCATGACCATTTTGCCTATCATAAGATATAGCACAAGGAATGGAATGAACTCAACTATTATATTAATGAATGAATAAACTAATGTCATTATTTTTATGTTATTTAATAGTTTCTATGATTATCCTATTAATGATTTTTCTTAAATGTTTTACAAATATTTGAACCTTTTATTCCCATCACCATAAAGAATGAAAATTGAACAGTGCCTATACTCCTTCGCCTCCTAGATTATGCTAAGTATTTAAACAGAATTCGTTCTTAATCTCTGTCTCCTTCTTGCATACTCTGCTTTTCTTTATTTTTATTTTGCTAATTTGGAATTTTTAATCTAGATTTATACTAACTTTATTTCACATTATGATTCTTCCGTTTTTAGAAATCATTCATAATATTATTTTAAATTTGCATGTACAAAATCAACCATACTTAGATGTACCTGTAAGTTGTATGCCCTTACTGTCTATCAATGTTTCCTCCAATTTCCTTGAGCACTTTATTTTGACTCATTCATTGTTTGACTACAATACTTCAAAAAAATATTTTTTCAGAACTACTATATGGTGAATGGTATTTCTGAATCTTTGCATGTCCAAATATAACTTTCCTTTGCATTCACATGAATGATGGTTTGTTTGGATCTTGAAATGGAGCATGAAAGTTGTCAGAATCAAAATGGAGTCAATTGTGTTAAAAACTGGGGAAGATAGGAAAGGCCATGAAGGGAAGCTTCTCATGCACAAAATATCCCAAAAGATTGCAAAACCCACAATCTCTCACAAAGACTGTGCAACCTTACATACACACACACACAAAAAAAAAAACTTCGGTAAGGATACCTGCCCAGTAACTGTTCAACACTGGACGAATTCCACTCTTATTATTGACCCCTGTAATGAAAGATTATTATCTCAAAACAATTATGTTTCCTCATTTTTATTTAAAAAATCTTTGTTTTCCTTTACCACCCTGAATGAGAACATAGTTTACTGTAGCACACATATCCCCATTGCAATGTCTATTCCCAGAGAAATAACGTTTCCTTTCAAAGTGTCCCCCTCTCTGTTTGTTATTTAGGATGATGGTAGTCATAGTCCACTTGCACTCCAAAGTTTGAGAAGCACTAGTCTAGGCTGTATTTTCCGCTCTTGTGGACTCCAGCAAGAATTTTCTAACTATTGCCTTCCAGTGAAACATCATTGTACGCCAGGAGGCCGATTCTGAGCAGGGTGAATCATCATGAATACAGCAGAGAAAAGCAGGCACCTGCTGGAGATTCTAGTGCCACCTCACTTCATTTCCAAAGCTATTCCCACCATGTCTAGCCTACGAGAATGATAAATCCACTTGTTGCAAATGTGAAGTTCAAACTGTGCCCTCAAATCCTCAAATCACTGCTTTGTAGGCTTTCCCTGTCATGGCCACATCATCCTTCCTCGGTCACCTCATGTTGGGTAGTGGAGAGACTCCTAGAGAAATCTGTGTTCCATTAGAGTTAGAGCTACTCACAGAACCATTGCACCGTTCTCCATTCTGCTGGCTCCATGAGTTGTGTTAGGAGCTCCCTGCACCAAATCTTCCCCTACATTAAGTAAATAGAGCCAAAGGGAACACTGTGGTAAAGCCTGTATCAGCTGCCATGTTGGTTTTCTACTGCTGTGTCATAATCACAAAGTTAACAGTTAAAGCAACACCCATTTTGCAGGCCAGTCATCTCCTCCAGGTTTCACAAGGTGATGGGAGGGCTGCGTTCTTTTCCAGAGCGTCTGGGGATGAATTCACTCCCAGGCTCATTCGGGTTGCTGGCAGAATTGAATTCCATGAGATTATAGGACTCAGGTCCCGTGTCCCTAGCAGCGATCAACCCAGTGTGGGTTGTTCTCAGTTTTTAGAGGCTGCCCACTTTCTTTTTGGGGTGGCACCTTCCTCCTGTGTCAAAACCAGCAAAGTCCCTTCACAGCAGTTCTTTGATTTGCGTTTGATTGAATCAACAGGGAGCGGGAATTTTGTGGGACATCTTTTGAATTCTGCTTCTTGCAGCTGCACTATGCAAATGATTAGGAAAATCTGCAAGTCCTTATTTTGAAGTAATTTTCCAAGTGCCCACGGTACATCCTTACTCCCACTCCTGCTTATCACTTGGAGGATTTTACATGGAAAACACTTCCCTTACTTTTCAGGAAACCCCTGTTTTGCTGGTGATGAACCACTCAGCATTTCCCTTCCGCATAAAAATCACAATGACTTCATTTCAAACAGAAACGCCTCAAAGTCTGGTATCTATTTATGACAGCCTTCCCTTTCCAGCAGGACTCAAAGATTATTTTGTTCTAATGTATCTTTGGTCAATAAAATGGAATTTGGAGAGTATGAGAAGGTAAAAAAAAAAATATGAGAAAAAATGTATTTCTCTAGAGTATTATTGCCATTGGTGAGTTCCACAGTGCTAATAAACTGTAGTAGGAATTTGAATGAAATGGAATTGAATGAATTCTATTTTAAAAAATGAATTAAATAGGACGGCTCGCAAGTATCCAAGAGCTAAATTTAAAATGTCAAAGGTTATGTAAATCTTATATGTTTAGCTAACCCTCTAATGAGAAAGACTCAAAACACTGAAGTCTCAAATCGTTTTTGAGAACGCTGAAGAGAGAAGCCACATAATTTGAGAGTGTCATAACCGGGAGTCCTAGAAAGAGAAAGATCAAGCAGCAAATGTGAATTTAGGCCATGAAGAGGTTTAATTTAAAAGCTGAGAGCAAAATCACAGTCCTTTCATAATTATTATAAGAAGATGTTGGGTACCCTCACTCTCTGGCAGAGCTGTGGTGCCTGATGAACAGAGACCATTTCTCTCCTGCTTGGCTTATTTTATCCCTAATCAGCAGCAGTACTTCAAATTAGCTTCACAATCTATTGGCCTCTCTCAGCCATAAAAGCCTCTCTCTTTTGATATTAGCATAACTCTTCGTTGAAAATAACAGAGAAAAGCTTTTACTTGAAGGTTATATGCTTCCTTGTGGATGGCCAACTTCGAAGGGTTCTTGGCATGGTCCAAAGAGAGTAAAATAAGGTGAAGGAAGTAGAGCAGCTGTGTTTCTAAGACAAGAGGTTCTGAGCTGAAAAAACACCACATTGATTAAGGTCAGGGCAACTGGGAAAGTTGAAGTTCAGCCAACAGAGGGCTGAAGTACTGAACTTGAAAACTCTAGAACCTGGGAAGTATCAGCATTAAACTCAAGAACACTTTATGGAAAAAAACAGTTTTATTGTATACATTCAGTTCTGTACATAGATGTTGGAGCATTCAAATGATTTGAGGTATTGGATTATCTGTTATTCACTTAACACCAGTAGCACCCAGCTATGGATAAATTGTATGTGATAGTTGTGTTTAATGAAATCAAGATTTTAAAATGGTGAACGCTGATTTTCCTCTTCTATTTTATTTAACTTGTTATCTCACAAACTTGGCTGAAAATACTATGAACTGAGATAGTACTTTCCTGCACTTAACCAAGACATTTGAGAATTGCCAAAAATAATCTACCTCAATATATATTTACACATTCATCCTCTAAGTGAAAGAA